TATATATATATTACAAGATAATGATCAAATGAACTATCACTAAGTAAAATTTTAAAATTATTTGATTATTAAAATTTAATTAAAAATTTTGATTTAAAAAGTTAAAATAAGTAAATAGATACATCAAATATATTAAAACATAATTCAAAATTTTGTTTAAGACCTTAAATTTTCTTGATACGACCCTGTATGAGGCCACCATAAATTAACTTAGAGACTAAATTATAAAAATTCTAAAAAATTAAAGCCTTAATAATATTTTTAAAATTTTGAAATTTAATTAAAAATTCTCAAAATTCTTTTTAGACTTGTGACATATTAAATCTACATTATTTTGTGAGCATAGCTTAATAGAAAAACTATTTGGTTAAAACCTAATAGATAGAATATGCCACTGCTTCATGAGAGTTTACCGTTGAGGATTTCATTACAGGCATATAATACGCTCAAATGACTTAAAATTGATGACCACAAGTGTAAGTTAAGATTAATGATTTAACCATTAAGATTGGGTTAATAATAAAAGCACACAACCAATTAACGCTGTCTCACTGTTACACATTTAAAATATTTTAAGACATCATCTCTAGATAAAATATTTGTAATTGCGAGTTTGGTAGATTATATTATCTATACATTATACGTGTTATTCGGAATAAATATAATGAGACATCATTTTTCCTTCTAGTATATATAAAAATAATACAATTTGCAAATTGGTCACGGGTTTGTTTAATAAAAACGTGTTTCATGCGTCTAGAAAGAAATGGGAAAAGAAACTTTCTTGTTTGTATTTATTTGCTTCTCTTTACAAGGGAAAATTGTTGACCGATTTCTCTGGCGTTCTAATTTTCTGTATCCATTTTACTATCCACCGTTTCCCATTTTCTATCACTCTCATGGAGGATGCTGCCACTACTAATGGTAAAATTCTTCATACTTATGTTCCCTTATGCTTAATGATATTGTAAAAATGTATGCCTCTTCAATTGTTGTCGTTAGTGTTCAAGTATTTAATGTTAAATTGTCAACTTGCACTATGGAGGCAAAAACATATCCTGATCTCTGTTGTCTCATCTCCAAAAATACCAAGCTTTTTTATCAACAAATTGTCTCCTCTACTTGTGCAAAAAAACGCCACCATACTCCAACTGACAACAAAATAATCATGACTCCAGGAAAGCCGGTAAACCTCACCTTTGAATCACAGTACCAGATTTATATCCTATGAAAACCTGTATATGAGTTTCTTATTTCTGGAAATAACACATCAATTATCAATTAGCTAGAAATATGATCAAAATCAAATAAATATATATAAGTGAGTGTAATCTTGACCTTAGTATGCTTCAATTAAGCTCAAACAAACATTCTTAAAAACATATAAGAGTCCATCCTAGCAATCATTATTAGGAGTATCAGTCTACTTGCTTTCAAGCCATTATTATATTATCTGCAGATGTCAACTTCATGTTGTCTCCTTGGTGTGAGAAATGTGTTGGTGGGTAATCCTATATTGATCAATTAGAGATATGAAGTGAGGACAATCATTTACTTTGTATGGTTGAGTTATACTTAAAATTCACATTCTTAAAATGGTATCAATGATTATTGTTAGAACTTATTATATCATTCGTTATTGGATTAAATATTTCATCTTAAAAATTTCAACCTTAGCTCGAAACTTCCAATTCTCAATGTGAATGATTGTATTAGAGATTTTGTATCGAATTATAATTTGACAAAATTTGAAAATACTGCATCAACTTGTGGTATTGTCAAAGTAGATCATGTAATATGCTAAACTTGAAATTGTGATTCAATTCAAAGAATTTGATGCATATCTTGAATAATGATTCCTGAAATTTCCACTACAGTATTTAATTAGGTTATTTAACATTTACCTAATTTGTGAGTGGTGGCTCAGTAGTAGGCACGTTCTTTCATTAATTATCTTATTGGTGTCATTTTTTCTTTTTATATCAGCTGGAAAGGATAGAGAAGATCAGTTCCTAATAACAGCAATTGAAGAAGCATATAAGGCAGTTGAAATAGGCGATGGTAGACCATTTGGTGCCGTTATTGTTCGAAATGATGAAATAGTTGCAATTTGTCATAACATGGTGTTAAGAAACACTGATCCCAGTGCCCATGCTGAGATTACTGCAATAAGAGAGGTTAAATTAATAATTGTTATTTAATTTATCCGTTAAGAATTTGCTTGCTGATTTGTGAAATCTGTGGTGTATTACATATTCACATGCATAAAGAATGGACGGATTATCAAAACAAAGAGGTCGTGAAATTGTAATCTTTATATCCTGCTATTAAAATAGGTGTCTACATTTAGTACCAAACCTTGCCTTAAATAGGATTGCTTTTGAAGGAAAAAAAATCTAAGTATCAAACCAAATAACAGGAAGTTTGAGCATTCTTTAATCTTTAATTGCATTCTTTAAACCAAGTATCAAACCTTGAATAGGTTGTGTGCGAGTTTAAATTTTTAGCTCTAACATTAAAACATTCATTGGACTCCATTCTTGTATATATTAGTCTTTCTGTATGAGAGCTATGATTAATTTTATATAGGAAACTACATTTATATTTCCCAAACCGAATCACTTTTCTACTGTTTTTATTTATTGCACCTCATGTTATAACTGGATATCATCTGTAGGCTTGTCTAAAGCTGAATCAAGTACAACTTTCTGACTGTGAAATCTATTGTTCTTGCGAGCCTTGTCCAATGTGTCTTACTGCAATTCATTTTTCAAATATTAAGGTGAGGTTTCAGTACTCATTTTCCTCTCACCACGTTTCTCTAGTTTTTATTAATTGATCACATTGTTCATTCTGTTCTCATTGAAACAGAAATTGGTTTATGGAGCTAGAGCAGAAGCTGCAGTAGCAGTTGGATTTGATAGTATTATTGCTGATGCACTGAGCAACACTGGTTTTTATGAGAAGCTCAACTTAGAGATCAAAAAGGCTGATGGCAGTGTTGCTGAAATGGCAGAACAAGTATTTGAGAACACTAAAGACAAGTTTAAAATCCGAACGCAAGTTTCAATTGTTTAGGAAAACTTAAATTTCTTACTATAACTATGTTCATGAATTCGAGCAATATAAAAATTGTACACTTTTATGTTGGTGTTCATTTGCTCATGTAGTATTTGCTTAAGGCGTTGGAAATGATTATTGATACGTTAAATTTATGAATGGTCACATTGTTACAGAAAACAGTTGTTAAAATAAAAAGTGAGATGACAATCAACCAGACTTTGAGTAAACTGATTTTAAATTGTTTAGATTTCATTTAAATTTGATTAAGCAGAAAATGTACTATTGTCTTGTTCACCGAAAGTCTACTATCATATTAGTTTTGCTGTTAATAATACTTGATAATCATTACTTTAGTACACTGGAATTTACTTCAACTTGAATGAAAGTTTCCTGTGTTATTACATGCATGAGGGGTTTTCAAATGACTTAAAATTGACGATCTCAAGTTTTGAATAACATAAGGGTTTAACCATTAAGATGGGGCTAATATTAAAAAATTAAAAACTTCCATAGATTGAACGTAGTCGTGAGTAAAACAATGGAAAATGGATGGAAAGTAAGTAGGAGCATGTGCATAAATGCTTCTCAATACTAGTAGTTAATAAGAAAATGAACCACCGCCAAATTCTTTCACATATTGACAAATTTAAACAATTAAAATATTGATATGACACGAGTAAACATTAAAAATAACAAATATCCATTAAAAATAGTAAGATAAATCTAACAGTGTAAACATATTTTTTTATTTGGCACAAAAAAACCGACAGAGACTATGTAGAGCAGCGCAGCGAAAACGGGTTGGGTATTGGGTCCATTGGAATAGCGAAATTGCGTGGTTGGGTTACAGTCCTAAAAGAGATGAGATAGAAACATTGACAACACAACACAACACAACACTGTGTACTTGTGCGTCCTTACCACTTTTTCTGCCTTTGCTTCACTTTTGAAGGGAACTTGGTGTCCTATTTTCTCTATCGTTTTTACTTTCCACCACTTCCAATTTTCTAGATCTTTTTTGTCAGATCCTAGTACCATCATGGAGGATGCTACTGCCACCGCTAATGGTAAATTTCTTCATAATTATCGCTTTTGCTTCTAGCTAATTCTGTTTCCCTTATGCTTCATTATACACTAAATTCCTGTCCTCTTTAATTGGTGTCGTTAGTGTCTTCAATTCAACTATGTGCTTTCATTATGGGTGAAAACCAGATTAAATGTTTACACTTTACATTATTGAAGGAAGTAAGAATCTGAGTTGAGAGAGATCAGAGCAGAATTTATTTAGTGTAAAGGCAGGACTGAACAAACTCCAAACGCATTTTATGCAGTTAATATGAGAGATAGTATGCATATATAGGCTAAAATCATTTCCCTTATCCCATTCGCATGGGATATTTTTACAAGAAAATTTGACCCTAATTCTTGTTGTTAATTTGTTATTTTTAAAGTATACTCAGATTTAGCTATGCTAGGGTCACGGCTTGTTGCTTGTTGTGTATATCTGTTTTTATATCATTTGATTTGCTCTTTTAGTATAATAATGCTCTTTGTTGATTTTGCTTCTAGAGCTGGAAGGATCTGATTGTTTGATACTTTCTTTTACCTGGCTTTTGTTATAGTGTTGGACACCAAAGACGGAACTATTTCTGTTGCTTCAGCATTCCCTGGTCATCAAGAAGGTAATGTAATTTTTGTCTCATCTCCCCCCCTCCCTCCTACATTTTTCTTTTTCCAAACATTATTTTCTCTCGTTATACCAGCTGTACAGGATAGAGACCACAAGTTCCTAACAAAAGCAGTTGAAGAAGCGTATAAGGGGGTTGAATGTGGTGATGGTGGCCCATTTGGAGCAGTTGTTGTTCGAAATGATGAAGTAGTTGTAAGCTGTCATAACATGGTTTTAAGAAACACTGATCCCACTGCCCATGCTGAGGTTACTGCTATAAGAGAGGTTAAATTAACAGCTATTCTTTCCATTAAGAATTTTATTGTTGATTAGTGAAATCTGAGGTCTATCACATGCCTCAAGAATGAATGGATTATCAAAACAAGAGGTTGTGGAATTGTAATCATGATAATTCTGCCATTTGGTTTCCAATCATGGAGACAGATTAAGCGATGGGTTGACTATACAATTTTTTTTATAAGTGTGGCAAAAAACTGTTTAAAGGAACATCATGTCATCTAGGTCTGTATAACCTGGCATGTTAGGCAGATAATGTTGGGTACAGCTGCACCGAAAGGAAAAACTTTCGGTGGTTTTTTAATTAAAAAGCGGGTCCCACATAATAAAATAATATTAAAAGTTTAGGAGAAATTACGAAAATGCCATTGGGACTTTCCTATAAATAGGGAAGCTGAAAATCATAATTTTCATCCCAGTTTAGGAGAAATTACGAAAATGCCATTGGGACTTTCCTATAAATAGGGAAGCTGAAAATCATAATTTTCATCCCAAATCTTCTTCTCTTCTCTCTTCCTCTCTTATACACCTTGAGATCTGTTCTCGGTAGTAGTAGTCTCCTAATTCAAAGGAGTAAGTTATAGAGAGAGAAGTGTTGTAATTTCCTCCCTTTCAGTAAATAATATTTTTACTGTGGTTATTTTCTCCCTTGTCTCTTTTTTACTCATCTCTTATTTTAGCTGTGAGTAATTATTAAGCAAGACCACAGTAAAAATATTATTTACTGAAAGGGAGGAAATTACAACACTTCTCTCTCTATAACTTACTCCTTTGAATTAGGAGACTACTACTACCGATAACAGATCTCAAGGTGTATAAGAGAGGAAGTTATTCTTTTCCAATATGCAAACATAACAATCCCTGCACATTGGTATAGTGCCGGAGAAAATTCTTAGTATGCTCT